TAACAAACCGAATCAGAAATATCGCACACAGATAACATTGTAATCGTCAGACTGAATGAATGGAATGGAATTAGTAATGTTTGATAATCTGTTCCATGTGATGACTAAACACTTGAAATTCTCCTAATTTCCCTCCAATATTTCCTATAATGGTAATTAATAAGAATTGCATTTGATACAGCGCTTTATCACGTTGTTGAAACCTCTCAAAAGCTCTTCACAGGATGTAGTGACGGTCTATTTGTAGCCAGTTTTGCGCACAGCAATGTCCCACAAACATCCATAAAGTGAGTGACCAATTTTATTTGGGAGATTGGTGGCCAGGACACCGGGTGAAATTCCTTTCTCTTTTCGAACAGTGCCAAGGGATCTTTAATATCCACCTGAACAGGCAGAGATAGGAACTTGGTATAACATCATTGGATGTCTTTAATATTAAAGACATCATTGGATGACTTTAATATTTTTGCTATCGTAAGCTTAATGTTTTAATCAAATATCTTTCATATTGCTAGCGTCCAGCAGAGAGATATTGTGAGATACAACGTGCATTTTCAGTACAAGCACTGAATAGTCATGAAGTTCTAGCCTCAGTTTTGAAATCAAGGTGTTGTGCTTGGAAAAGTTACTCTGTTTTATGTGGCTTCCCGACAGCTTGTTTCAATGGCATTCAGAGGACTGATTGTAACAAGCGGTGGCAACAGATATAATCTCAGACCGAGGTAAGATAAAGAGCGCTGTTTGCCTGAAGTTTACCGGGCTGCCACGCTGGGGATTTGGAAGCACTCATCCAAAATGGCACAACCCAAGGGGATAAAAAGGAGCCACCAATTGCGGGATGAAAGGCACGAGCTGCAGATTTGCAGAAGCTGTGTATATGTACAGTGCGAGAACCATTTCTGTGTCTCTTTCCTAATGGCTGTCGAAGTGTGGCTGCCATGGCAACGCACATTGGATCAAACCAGTAATTTTATGAACATGGGTAAGATTGAGTTTGAAGTTAAAGGTTTACCTATTTTATTGACTGCCTCCAATGGCAATTGCCTGCATTGTGTTTAACCCTCTACAGAGTACAGCACCGCTGTTGTATACATATCTAATTAACAGACAAAGACTTTCATTCTGTTTGCGCTGCATTTGAATAGCTGCTTCTTATATTTTATACAGTGAACCACTGTTTGCTCGTTACATAAAAAAAACAACCGGAGCTTTTAGAATAATGAGCACCGTGTGTTTGATTTGTTTTGAGCTCCTTTTATACGATTTTCATGTTGTAAACCAATCCATTTCGATGTAAGACACGGGAATGAAAGGGGTAATTGGAGGAGATTACGTTAAAATAAAACATACATTTGTTTCGTGTGTTTTGTAATTAAATTTGCTACTTGGTAAACGCGGTGCGGGTTTGAACCTGGGCGTGCAGTGGTATAGGTAGGGAGACTTGCCGTAGCAACCTGCTGCGGTTAGGGACGGTAGAATTCAATGTCACATCTGTGGAGTGTCCTGCTGACGCGAAAGGTGCTATACAAATGTAATTCATTGTTGTTGTAATTCATTTCGTATTCAGCCGAGCGCTGCCAGACACGGAGGGAACGATTAGGGCAAAGATTTCAGAAGATCTGTGAGGGTGTGATGACGGAGTGACACGAAAGAGACACTTTTGTGAAAATGTTGGCGACAGCTTCGTTGACCGGCCAGAGTCAGATGAAGTGGGGAGGGGGGGGGGTGGTGGGGTGGGGGTATGTACAGACCTAATCCAGGGAGCAAACTTGACTCGAAAACATGATAAGGCGCTATATCAAATGCAAGGATTATTATTATTATTATTTAGTCACAAAGTAAGACTGCCAGTTTTACGCAGGGACAGATGTTTTTTTCCCCTGAAGCAGTCAATTAGAAATTCCATTTTCTTTTGAAAATATCTTCTCCTCTCTCTCCTCCCCTCTTCCCCCACTCCTGCCTTAACTACTCTGCCCATTCCCTCTCTCCCATCACCTCCCCTCCCCTCTTTCCTTCCCGTTCCTCCCTCCCTTCTCCCTCCTCAGAAAAAGAAATACCTCAGAATATATTGTGCGGAAGCAACGATTTCAATGGCAATGATATTTGATTTGTGTTGTTTGTATAGTGAGCACCTTGGCATTAATTTGGACATCAGGTGAACCATGAGGAAGATAATAAGACTGTGACTGACAGTATCGCCCTTTAAAAGTGACTGTCTTCGCCAGCGAGGGTTGACGAATTGTATTAGAGAAGAATCAAAACCCACAATGTTACGTGTGAAGCAATTCTTTGCCTCTGTCAGTATGCCATGATCAAAAGAATAACTATTTGTCATGCTCTAATAGCTTGATACAAATCCGAAGTAAATCAGACATTCCTGTCTAAACGCATTTGCCCACCCCAAATTAAGTAGCTCGAGGGAATATATTGTCTTTGTTGATTAACAGGTGAATGCGTTTGAGCAACAAGAGTAAAGCCAGGCAGTTACAGTTCCTACACTACATTAACTCTCCTCTAACTCTATTTAGGAGTAATGTAATGCGGATGATGTTTTCTTCCAGAATGTTTAGCTCGCTTTAAACCTCAGGCAATATTATGATACAGAATCAGTTTTCATGCCTTTATCATCTGCTTTATCATTAGGATGATGAGCCATTGCAACAGCGTGAGGTTTCCAAATGGAGCAGTAAAGAGGTCTGATTGCCAATTTCCAACCCAACACTGACATCACCCAGTTCTCATGTAACAAAAACAAAGTCATTCCCAACTCCTTCAGAAGCCCTTCTGCCATGATCGCTGACTGACGGCTGAAAATAGTTCATTGTATTAATTTATTTATTACTTGTGTAAATCCTAGGAGTTAGAATTCAAGGTCAAGGCTTGAAGCTTTAAGGCTTCAAAGGAGGTGGAAAGTCAACCCTGTGCCTGAAAAACACAGAAAGCTCCTCTTAGGACTTGCTGGCAAGATCGATGTTGTGGGCTCCGGTCCAACTGGATGCTGCTTCTGCCCATCATCCTGCCAAGAAGTACAAATCAGAAAGCTCCTGTCTGACAAAAGACCATTGCTCCGTGTGGATGGTGCCTCCTTGTCTATGCTTTGGAATCAAATCGGCAACAACAGAAAAAATGTCTATAGTCTATATCTAAGGGCTGATATTTCTGGTGGTGGACAATCACAAAAGTTATTAACTTAAGTTAAAGTGGAGTGATTATAGGGAAAGGTAAATGTTAGTGAAAGTCTCAAATGCTTTCACTTCTAGACTGCAGGTTGAATTACAAATATAATAATAATAATAATCTTTGCATTTAATATGGTGCCTTATCATGTCTTCAAAGCGCTTCACGGAATATACTGTCAAGTGGATTGACTGTGTATTTTTATATAAATAATATCATAAATTCAAGATTGCAATACAAAAGTGGGCTCTTGTAACTATCCACAGTCACTCACGGGATTTCTGTGCATTTTTGATCCAGTCATGTCAGCACCCAGCGACGTGTTACAATTCATAATTTCGTTATTATGGTTCATTATATTATGTAACAGATGCTATGAAGTTATAGGCTATGACCTGGGGAAATCTGCCAATGCTTATAAACTGCCTGAGCTGTTGGTTGTTTACATTATCATCAAAGTACAACAGTGTTGCCTGCACTTAGCTCTAAATTCACCAGGCATTTGGGCTCAGCACTGTGGCCTCTCTGGACATCCTCTACTGCCTTCACTGTGACATCTGCGACTGCTGTCCCAGAACAGCCCCCGAGGCTCCCACCTTCCTCTCGCGCCCCCATCCCGTAGGAATAAAACATCCTCTCTACTGCTATCGACTCTTCACTCTCCAATCCCCTTCCCCCTGCCCCGCCATTCTCCCTCCTAGCTGGTACGCTCACTACATCTATGTAAAGTGCTTCGAGATGTTCTCCCTTAGTGAAAGGCGTTTTTTTTAAAAAAATCCTTGTATTAGACACGGCGCCTTATCATGTCTCAAAGAGTTTCACAGAATATACCGTAAAGTGAAGTGGCTGTGCATTTCGTGCGTGAAACGCGGCAGCCAATTGTGCTAAACAGTCGTTTTAATGACTTTTTATGACAAACTCACTATATATCGTGTTATATATATTATATATATATGTCAGTGTAGTGTTGCTCACTGCAGTTTGCATAAGAAATAAGATGCCTCTGGTTCCTCAGTGTCGAATGAAGATTCTGCTCGCGGAGATCGATTTCAGAAACCTCCACTTTGTGTGCACTCCTCAGGTCTTCACCCTGTGACATGATATGATACATGATAGGATGATATGATATATAGATATATATATGCACAGGAGTCCTGAGTGGGGAGCCAAGGTCAGTGGAGCAAATACATGAGCTGCACGTTCCACAAACAAAGTCCCTGCGTGAAGTCTCAGCGCACTCACAGCGCACGGTGTCGACAAGCATTTTATTTTAAAGAGACAAAAGGCTCCTTAACCCCTATCAGATCGTTGGTCGAGTAGCATTCAAACGACTATACGGTCCTATTGCTGCTTTGCACGATGGAAGGTTGCAATGCTCCGAAACCGTTTCCATGACGATGCCTCCCAATTGAAGGTAAGATCAATATCAGTTTTGAAATGAATTCAAATGTACAGGAACCCAGATCAGGAATGTAGGAACCGAGCAGGGGAATCGTGTGGTTTTTTTTTCCCTCTAAAAACACCAAAGCGATCAGATTCATTGTATTTGGTGATTCGTCTAACTGGAGTGAATACGACAGCTACATTTTACCTTTGGAACAGATCGTCTCTTTGTCTTCACCAAGTCCAAAACGAAGACTGCAATTACTTCAAATGACCCCAGATCAGTCTTGACACTAAACAGCCACAGGAATAATAAGGATTGGATTGTACACTCATCTCTAGTGGACGGGGAAATACAGACAAATCACCACAATAAACCATCTAGAATTGGCCACATATTCACTCCATTGAGCACTAACACATTCACTTTTCTTTCACAGTTCTACTCAATCGGAATTTGCTTGAAGATCCAACCAGCCACAAGGGACCGAATACTCACTGAACTGATCCACCTCTCTGGACTACCGAGTATTGAATCAAACTCGTGTATTTAAAAATGTTGCAGTCGTTCCACGCTGTGCCATCAGTCACAGATGATTCAGTCACGGGAGGCAAGGCAGTGAATATAGCAAACCAAGGACACAGGACATTTCTGAATTCTGAGAATGAGCAGAGTTCTGGCAGCACAAGGATATTCCAGCCCTCTGCACATCAAACACCTTTCATTTCAAAGCGTAGAATCTAAATAGAATTTGACTTAACTTTTGAACATCTGCGGTTAGACAATACACTTCAACAACAACAACAACAACAAGATTGCATTTATAGAGCGCTTTTCACATCGGGAGGACGTCCCAAGGCGCTGGACGGTTGGGTCGGGACCCGAGCATTGGGGGGAACTGGTCAGGGTGAGGGGAGGGAAGGGAGGGAGCGAGGAGGGGATAGAGAGTCGAGAGGGGAGGTGAAGGCACGGTTGAAGAGAAAAGGCATGGTTGAATTCACAGTAATTAAGCACTCTGGGGCGCAACCGTGCCTGAGAGGGTGCTCTATAAATGAAAGCTGTTGTTGCTGTTACTGTTAAGCTCTTTGAGACCTTTCAACATGATGAAGTGCGATATCAAATGCAAGGATTATTTTTCATTATTATTATTAAATGTAAAATGCCTGGTTGGCTTTTCATATTGGCTTGTTGTTCGTTCCAGATTTGTGTGAACTGAATAACCATGCAACAACAACAACAACCAAATTACATTTATATAGCGCCTTTCATGTCGGGAGGACGTCCCAAAGCGCTGGACAGACAGAGTTATGGACGCGAGCTGGAGGTCGGGGTGGGAGAGGGTGGAGGGCAGGGCGGGGAATCAGGGAGATGGAAAGCACGGTCGAAGAGGAAGGTCTTGAGATGGATCTTGAAGGTGGCGAGGGAGGGGGCGAAGCGGAGGGACTGTGGGATGGAGTTTCAGAGCATGGGGCCAGAGCGTCAGAAAGCCTGCCCGCCGATAGTGGGGCAAGCGAGGCGGGGGATGTGAATCAGGCCAGAGCTCGCTGAGTAGAGGGAGCGAGCAGGATGGTAGGGGGTTAGGAGGTCCAGAGGTAGGGGGGAACAAGACCATGGAGGGCTTTGAAGGTGAGAACCAGGATCTTGAACTGTATCCTCTGTGTGATGGGAAGCCAGTGGAGTCGGGCGAGGATGGGGGTGATAGGGTCACGGAGCCTAGTTCAGGAGAGGAGACGAGGTATAGAGTTCTGAATGATTTGCTGTCTGTGGAGGGAGGAGTTGGGGAGGCCGACAAGCAATGAGTTTGCATAGTTGAGCCTCGATGTTATGAATCGAGACGCTCTGAGATGCCGTCCGGTGTGGAAGGCGCTATATAAATCCAAGTTGTTGTTGTTGAATGCGTGAATGAGGGTTTCGGAGGCCCGCGGTGTGAGATAGTGTCGGAGCAGGGTGATGTTGCGGAGGTGGGGGGAAGGCAGAGCGGGTCATGGCACAGATGTGGGGCAGAAAGGATAGTTGAGGGTCAACCAACATCCCAAGGTTATGGATTGGCTTAGTAAGCTTCAACATTTTGTTAGCTTGTTACCTGTCTGTGATACTGATTCCTCTTTACCCCCATATTGTTTCAAAGATGCTGTTAGTTCTGCTTGTCACATTGGAACAGTGTTAATGGGAATCTCACATAAACTGGAAGGCATTCGGCGCATACAGGAAATGTAAAAATGCAAGCTATTTATCAATTAAAACAAAAATATTATAGTTTATAGCTTAGTTGATGTTGTAATACTAGAGATTAAGAATCTTTGCTTTTTACGGGACAGTGAATTGTGTGGGTTAAATGTTTTATTACTGTAGTCCATTATTATTAAACATAGTCCAATGTTTTAATTAAATATTATCCCAAGGGCCACTGTTCTTTGTGTTTGTAATCAATCAGGATGGCATAGTAATACACATTTGATGATGCTGAAGACTAATAACTGCCAGTTCACCCATGAGAAATGGGTTTAGTATTGCAATTATTTGATATTTTTATTATATTTTCTTTCCTCTCAAAGTGTTTGCAGTTGGGAATAAAGAAATATCCTCTTGGATACCAGGGGGAAGAAATTCTGCCTGGTCCAGCTTTACTTTATCTTAAGATTTCAGTGCGTGCGCACGGTGACCTGTTTTAACTATAAAATCTGATTTCTGTAGCTCTTAAAATTCTTAGCGGAATTCAATATTAAGACTGTATTTAAGAATTTGCCAAACTGTGGACACTCTGAAATGCTAAGAAAATAGAGTTAGCCTAGACCCAGATGGAATTTCTACATCTAGAAGAGTAAAGTGGATGGGATCCATGGGGATTATTTCTTCTTAAGAAACGGTCATAAGAAATCCAGCACTTGATTGGATTGGGTTGGTTTAGGTTGAGTTGGGTTGGATTTCTTCATGGGAGCCTTTTCTTGAGAGATTAAGCTAGTAGTTTGTTGACTGGGCATTGCAAAATATTAATGGAGCAGTGTTAAATGTTCCTCTCGTCTTCAAACTGTTTTGAATGATCATTTGCATTACAAAATACAATACAATTCATATTTATATCCCGCCTTTCACGTTGGGAGGGTGTCTGAAAGTGCTTCACACATCAACAACAACAAGATTCCATTTATAGAGCGCCTTTCACGTCGGGAGGACGTCCCAAGGCGCTGGACAGTTGGGCCAGGACCCGAGCAGTGGGGGAAATGGTCAGGGTGAGGGGAGGGAAGGGAGGGAGCGAGGAGGGGGTAGAGAGTCGAGAGGGGAGCTGAAGGCACGGTCGAAGAGGAAGGTCTTGAGACCGGCCTTGAAGGAGGAAAGGGAGGAGGCGGCGAAGGCACTGGGGGATGGAGTCCCAGAATCATCATTCAATGAATGTAACACAATGGTCTAAATTTGACTTTAATGAAAGTTTTAATGAAAGTGTCGGATTACAATCACTTCCCGATTGGCATTTCTGTTCTATGGATTTGCTGAACCAACAGTTGTACAACAAGGCTTTCATGATTCGACACAATTCACATCACAGCTGGCAAGGTTGCTCAGTCGGCTGGGAAGATAAACCAGGTTATATAACCAGGTTAGTTTCCCATGGAGTGGGTTGCTGAATTGATTCCTTCCCAAACTGCTGATCAAAGCTTCCTTTAAGTTATTCTATTTCTTAGCTTTCCTTATAGTTGTGATCATGTTCTCCTACCCCACCCCCTTGACATGTTCTCCTACCCCACCCGCTTGACATGCTCGGAGTCAGGCTCTGCCACTGTTAAGCGCTCTGAGGCACTGCCCTGTGTGGAGGGCGCTATATAAGTGCAAGTTGTTGTTGTAAAACCCACTGTGCAAAACCATAACTTCCCACCCATAGCAAAAGTGCTTTAAGATTTGATGATCCATTTGTTTTTGAATCTTTAAACATCGCAGTATCAGATATTTGACTCTTAGAATTACTTCAGTAATTGCTCCATATTGTCAACACGTTACTGCACAGGGTGTAAACTTTACTAGTGTAGGATACGTGGATTCAAGATTGGCAGAAAGAAAAATTTTTTTTGCTAACTCCAGAGCCTGTGTTTTCAATGGGAAACATTACCAGAGTTCAGGTAGGGAGAACCTTGGGCAAACAATGTACTTATTCACATACAGGAACGCAGCCCTTAATCATCAAACATGTTTGTGTTCTGAAACTAGTTTCACTCGAACATCTCCAAAACCCATTATTGTCAAAGAAGCTCTCTGGCTACTGTTTAATGGTTCACTGGTAGGAAACGTCATTCACGGTTTGTCAAAAGCCAAGACTTTGTAGTCATTTTAGGAATGTATCGCTTCATGCATCGACGAAAGACAATTTTTGCGTCAGCATTTTTTTTGAAACCAGCGAAACCTCACCTTCCCTAATCACGGCCTCTTTGAAGTTTGTTCGTTTGTCTTTCCACTCTTTACACTCCTGGCATCAAAAGAAACTCAGCAGAACATATTCAGGAGAGGTTTCAGTATTGAAACTGTGTGTGTGTGATGTACTTAAGTGGACTAAAATGTCTCATGTCGTGGATGGATGGAACTCGCCTTAGATCCTGTACACCTGCTGCTAATGGTGAGATCACATTCAGGCGAGAGGGGCACAAAGAAATAGTCTTTATGCCAACTGAGCATTCACCTCATGTGAAATGACGGAACCTGACAAATTTTCTGAGTGTCAAAGTCTTTTGTCTCCCCAATAAAACTGATCAATGACCGTCACTCCCTGCCATTAATCCCCTCCTTTCTAAAAAAAAATGTCTTTGCTGTGCCTTTAATCAACTCATTCAAACTTCCCCCTTTCCTTCCTGTTCACGACGCACTTCAAGACTTTCATACGATGTGGAAGTCAGTTATGTAAGTGCAAGCTGTTGATGGTGGGCCAGTCTGCTCGGTTGGTAGGACTCTGAATCAGAAGGTTACGGGTTCAAGCCCCAGGTCTGTGCACCACTCCAAAGCACGTTGTAAGGTTTTGTGTGAGCGGTGTCAAATGCAAGCAGTTTCTTAATGACGTTAAAAGGCTCAGTCCGTCAATAGCAATTGCCTAAGAATTTCTTTTAAAGTTTGTGAAAGTTCTTCTAAAGCCGTCTTCAGTAAAACCCAATTTCACATTGTGGCCGATGCATCGATTAGATTTTTCCTGAAAGCATCCCCCGAGGTGAGCAAATAGTGTCAAATAGCTGCTAACTGTGTGGTTAAAAATAGGGCATAGGTTTGGTCGTCTTGTAATTAGATGTACTGAGCCCTATGTGATCCATGTGTGCGCAAACCATAATTATCCAGCTGTCATGTTGCAAGTCGTGGGCTTGCTTCGCACAAAATGTACAACCATTTTTAACCCTTCGAGGACTGTACTAAGGTTTGGCCACAATGCTCATAATCCAGCCATTCACTACAAAAACACACAGTCACTCCACTCTACAGTATGTCCTGTGAAGCACTTTGAGATATCGGGAT